AGACTCTTTTCCAAGAGGGAAGGGAGGACTCTTCCCTCTCCCCTTTCCCAGTGGTGCCTGGCAGAGCTGGCCTGGACATGCCTCTGCCCTGCGAAGGGGGCACTGGGCAGCTCATACCCCCAACCCTCCCGGGCTGTGTCCGTCATACGAGATGCTCCCTGTGCAAATCCTCTCCTGTCCCTGTGCCTCAAGCCCAGTCTGTAGGGCCTCACAGAGCAGCTCGCAGGCTCTCAGGATGTCAGCAGGGGGCTGCCTGTCTCATCACAGGGTTTCCCTTTCAGATGGCCCTCTACTTCTGCACCGGAGTCCTAAAAGATGAGACCCTGTTCCACCACTACGCCCTCAACGTGCCCCTCTACACCCACTTCACCTCGCCCATCCGCCGCTATCCCGACATCATTGTCCACCGGCTCCTCTCCGCCTCACTGGGTACGTGCTCACGAGACTCCGGGTGCGGGCAGCCCAAGAGTGGGCTCCCTGCAGGATGGGCTTCGTGCCAGTGCCTCCAGAGCGGGGCTGTCCGGGGAGGGGAAGGAGTCGGAGTCAGGACTCCTGGGTTCTGGGGACTCAGGCCAACTTCCTTTGCCCACCTCCCATCTACATGGCTGCTGTAACTCCCCCCGGCATGGTCCCAGCTCCCTGACCCACCCTCCACAGAGCAGGGTGTCAAAAGGACTCATGTCTCAGGGGGACTTTCCTGCCAACAGCGGGTGAGACCAGATGGGCATCACCCCCTTGTGTTGGTAGTCCCAGCACCAGGCAGGAGCTGGGCTGCTCAGTCTCACTCCTTGCAGTCGTGTGCTCTTGGCCAGCATCCCAACCCTTTAGCAAATCGGGCAGCTCCGGGGTGGGCATTGGTGTCTGTAGCACCAGGGTGCCAAGCCACAGTGGTTTTCCTTCCCAGGCTCTGGGCGCCCGGTCCGGCTGCGGAAGGAGGCCATCCAGGAGCAGGCAGACCACTGCAACGACCGCAAGATGGCATCCAAGAGAGTGCAGGAGCTCAGCGCTGACCTCTTCTTCTCTGTCTTCGTCAGGGTAAGGCCTCAGGCAGCACTGCACTGGCTGTGCCAGCCCCTTCCCTTGGCCCTGGGAGCAAGGACCGGGCCTCTCTGATTCCCCACACTGAGACAACTCTCCTGCAAGGATGCCTTGGTTTTGCCCAGTGGCCACATCTCGTGGGGGCAGCTTCCTACTCTGCTTGGAGCTCCGGTTAACCCTTGGATTTGCAGCCCCTTCTCGCCCACGTGGCTCTGGCTGTTTTGTGGCCACTGCCTGCTCTTCCCAGGGCAGGTTCTTGCTTTCAAAGAATCACGGGGCCGCCCCCCGGGGGCTGCAACTAAGAGAGCAAGCTCTGTACTGCTTCTCTCCTGCTCTGTGCAGCAGACAGGCACCGCAAGTCCTCCACTGGCTTCTTGGGCTTGGCTGGGATCCTGCAGGACCGGGTGTCCTGGCTGTTTGCACCTTGTGGAGCTGTATCCAGGCCTGAGGGGGCTGGGGAGAGGTGGTACTTAATATAGTGTTCCCTGGGGAGAAGGAGGGAGGGGCATCCTAGGCTTGGGCATTGCCCACATGGGATAAGTGTGAAGGGAGAGGGCAGAGCTTGGTGCTGGGGTGGCAGAGGCCTGGGGGTGTCTTCTTGTCATGCCAGCACGTTGCCTTGCAGGAGTGTGGCCCCCTGGAGTCGGAGGCGATGGTGATGGGCGTCCTCAATGAGGCCTTCGACGTCCTGGTGCTGCGCTTCGGCGTCCAGAAACGCATCTACTGCAACGTAAGTGCTTCACGGGCAGGTGGGCGGCCCATGCTGCTGCAGGCTGCAGCCTTCGTCCTCCCACAGCTCTGGGACTGGAAGGGGGGCAAGGGGGGCACACCCTCATGAGGCCAGGCCCAGGGACCTTCACGGCTGTGACGCTGGCTCATCCAAGCAGGGAACAAAAGCACCCATGGCCCTGGCACACGAGCAGTGCCGCCAGCCAAGCTGCCCTGGTGCCTGTGCAGCAGTAGGACAGGATGACATGGCCATGTAGCCGAGAGCCTCAGGAACCATGGCTTGGTAACCACTGTACAGAAAGGGGCAGAGTTAAGGGGACAGTGGGAGCTGCTAAGGGCTAGAGAAAGCCTGGGATAGAGCTTGACATTCCCTTAGCTAAAACACATTTCCACCTTGCCTGGCTTTGAGGGAGACGGGCCACAGCTTCCTTTACTCTGAAGAGCCCAGTGCCAAGGCACGGCCCTTCCCTCCCCCTCCCAGATCCACCTCGGAGGGCACTGCCTGCTTCTCACCTTCCCAAGCCCCCGGCAGGACAAGGGCAGGATCAGAGGCAGCGAGGAGGCCGGGCAGAGCGGAGCGGGGAATTCTCTCCTCCCATCTCCTCTGCTTTCAGACGCTCCATTTGAAAGCGGATGGTTTTTCTAGGGAAAAGGTGCTGAAGTCCAGGTTTGAGAGCTCAAGCGCCTGGGCTCCGAAACCAGGAGGGGCCAGTTTGAATTTCACGTTACCAGCCAGTAAATCAGGGGCTGCCTGAGTGCAATCAGCCCTGCACTAGCCCCACAGGGAGCAACGACAGCCTCTCATACCGTGGCTGTACGGCTTGCGGCGACATCTTTAACCGGACCCTGCTGCGTGGACTGCGTGCGTGTTACAGCAGCCCCTGAATTACGGCTCACAAGCCCTGGGCTCCCGGCAGTTCAGAGCGGCGAGAGGCCTTTCTGTTGCGTGCTGAACAGGAGGGATTTCAACGTGTCAGCAAGCAGGCGCTGAGGGAGAGGGGAGGGAAGCCCAGCCATGGCCTGCAGGGCAACTGGGCAGGGCTGGGAAGGGGACGGGGCTCCTGTTAGAGCCGTTCCCAGCATCCGTGTCTGCCCGCAGGCTCTGCCCCTGGTGGGCTTCCACTTCCAGAAGGTGGGGAAGAAGCCGGAGCTGACCCTCGTGTGGGAGGAGGAGACCCCCAAGCAGGAAGCTGCCCACCAGGTAACGCCACCTCCGGGCCAGGCTTTGGGGTGGAGCGGAGCTGAGTCGCGCAAATGGTGCGGCTACAGCCTCCGTGTCCACGTGGGCACCTCTGGGGCTTTCAGCAGTGGGCTCTGGATGCAAACCCCACACCCCCCACTGTCATGCTCTGGGAAGGGCCGGATCGGACCCTGGTGTCGCAGCCTGTGGGGAACTGCTGCTGCTGCTGAGACAACTCACTCCAGCCTCAAGCTCCTCTGGCATCGAGAGCAGGGCTGGGTGAGGCCAGTCTGCTACTGCACGGGGCCACCCTGGCACCAGCTTCCAGAGCAGCCAGGCACCTCCCGTGGCTGCGCACCACGTCCCTAAGGATTTCCTGAGCTCCTGCTAGCGTAGACCTAGCCCAGCACCGTGGAAAGGGTGAAGAGCCTGTGCCGGGAGCCGTGCTCCCTCTGGCACCGCACTTCTACCTCTGAGCTCAGCCCCTGCAGCCACCCTGGGTGATTCCTCTTTTGCATGGGAGCTGGTGTCACTTAAGCGCCTCCAGCATGAAAAATGGCTGCCTGGCAGGAGCCAGGCCCAGCACTGGGGTTGATCCCTTCTGCTAAGCAAACATTTGTGAGGGATCTTCCACACCTCCTAAGAAAACACTGGAGCCCTGGGCCAGGCCAGGTCACGGCACACTGTGCACTTCCCTTCCCTGCCAGCCCATCCCTGAGCCAATAAATCTCTCACCCTGCAAACGGCCGTCACCCAGCCAGCGCTGTGCTGAACCAGCAAGAAGCACTGTCACCTTGACACGCAGCTCCGGCCTCCTTGTGCCCTGGAGTGAGTCGCCCAGCCCCGGCAGCGCCAGCCCCTCCTCCATGCTGGGGCTGGCAGGGAGGGGCCCACGCACTGCTCAGGTGCTTGGCACCTGCCCGGGTTTGCCTGAACCCGGCGAAAGAGGGGGAATGTCTGTGAAGGGGGTTTGCAAGCTACCCGAAGTGGGCAGAGGTTGGGCAGCTGCTGCAGCGCCCCATCCCTGCCTTTGCCTTAGGATGGGGGATGTGCAGCTCCACCCTCTGCATGCCCCTGGCATCAGGCAGACCCAAGAGGCCACACTAGTGCCCAGCATATAGGCTTTTGCCCTCTGTGCACCATGTCTCTGCCATCACCAGGCGCT